TGCATGATTGCTTTGACTAAAACCAAACTCCTTCAGGAGAAGCTTTGATTGTGTCCTCTGAGGGGGAGCTGACAAAATCCCACATCACATTAATGTTAAATGAACTCTCATTAAGACACATTTTCACTCATGTCGCAGAAGCCACGTGGAGAGAGGATGGAGCATGTTGAGATGTCGCTAAACACATCAGTTAAATACATCATCTGTTACTTAGAGCCGATTACGCCCATTTGGTGGATATAAACAGCAGGGGGGAAACGCCAGTGACTGGAAGGCACCAATGCATTAACCATGTGATACTATTTATATCAGCGGAGCAAGGGGGTGACACACTAACTTGCATGTCTTATGCAACATGTGAACTACAAGAAAAGGAATCACAGTGGACTCATAATGCAAGGGCTCATGGAAGCCAAGCACAAAAAAATGCAGTAAACGGGAAGCTACAAATGAGAGCTCAACAGTTGTGAGTGAAATTTCTTTTGTTGTAAAGCCTGAGCATGAGCGTGCCCAGAGATGGACCAAATTCCTAGCATGCTGTCACCAAGGCTCCACATCTACAGTATATTGTATGTTATTATTGCTCCTGGGTGCACAAAGTGAGATTGTAAGCTTTTTGATTGATTAGTCAATGTTTTTAAAGGTTTCACAAATACTACTATGTTTTACCTATTATGAATATCCTTTTATTTGGCTCATAATTTGACAGAAAAAGGCTATGGTCCACAGAGTGTCAAAAATCATGAAAAGCATTGAAATAGATAAGGATAAAAATACCTTTATGTACAGATAATATTTTTCCAGGGAAGGATCAGCACATATTCCACAGGATATCATAATCCATCCATCCGGAGTACACCCTGGACATGTTGCCAGTCCATCGCAGGGCAGCACAGAGACAAACAGGACAAATAAAACATTCACGCCCACACTCACACCTAAGGAGAATTTAGAGAAGCCAATTAACCAGTCATGTTTTTGGACTGTGGGAGGAAGCCAGAGTACCCGGAGAGAACCCAAGCATGCTCAGGGGGAACATGCAAACTCCATGCCGAAAGACCCCGGGTTGGCAATCGAACCCGGAACCTACCAACTGCATCACTGAGCAGCCCGGTACTGCAGTCAGTGCTAGTTCATTTAAAAAAATGTATAGAGCTTAATATGCTTTGGGGTTTTCTTAAGCAAAACCTTGAATTAAAGAAAGTTCCAAATAGATTACAGTGAACTGGAGAACAGTTGTAACAATAAAAAATTACTCTATTACAGCTCAGTATTCAGCTGATCAAACCAGAAGAAGGCTTTCTAATTTGATGAGCCTTATCCAAGTAGCTGGATGTGACAAGCTTTTGGAAATGAAGGGCTTGTTATTAAAATTCAAATTTTGCTCTTGAAATTTTCATTTTTTTCTTGCTTTTCTTGCTTTGCTAATAACTGTCCTAAATACAGACACCTACTCTGTTTATAGATTAATATAAAGTTTGGAAATATCTTCATAAATAGCACATAGGACTCCTGATGCTTAACACTGCCAGTGACTAATAGAAATTTAGTCAGATTTAGAATACAAAATCAAACTGTTACCTTTGTTTTTTTTATATGATTTTAAAGTTTTGACTTTCCTCTTCAGTGGGGTTTTTGTATGACCCCTGATCCAGTGGTCCAAGTTTGAAAGCAAGTCTGGTTGTGTTGCAGATCATGTTAAGATAATTGTTGGGCCTTCAGTGCCAGGTCACGGTCAGTCATGGTGTTCGCTTTTGACATAAACTATGTAATCGCAATGGCAGCCTGTTTGTCATCAGCACCTAATTCAACTAATACATCACTTAATTGACAGACAGGTCCTTACTCTGCTGCAAAGAAAGCTGGAATGGGGATTCATAAGTATCAAACTCTTATGAAAGCAGAAGTGATGAAAATATACTAAGAGAAAAGACATGCAGGTCAACATCTATGCAAAACCAGCTTATTAATCCTGCAGGGTATCTGATTACTGGTAGAGCATAGCTATTTGTTGTCAGTCTTACTCTTGTCATTGAGCTGGCTTCTTAGGACCTGCCTCAATCGTTGGAGGTATTTGGCCATAGCCCCTTTCCTTGTCACCTCTTCGAGGTTGCCATTTGCTTGTGAGATTTCAAGGTACTTGTAACTGTCCTCAATGTCTGCTATTGTTCCCTCTGGGAGTGAAACTCCCTGTGATGGGCTACCTTCCCTCTCTCAGTCACCAATCGACCACACTTCTCTTGTCCGAATGACATCTCGATGTCTGAGCTGTAGATCTGGGCGGAATGGATCAGTGAGTCGATGTCTCGCTCACTTTTAGCGCAGAGCTTGATTTCATCCATGTAGAGGGGGTTGATTGATGGTGGCCCTGTTCCTGAGTGGGTATCCATTGCCAGTCTTGTTGATTATTTGGCTGAAGGGGTTCAGACCTATGCAGAACAACAGTGGGGAAAGGGCATCTTCTTGGTATATGCCACATTTGATGGACTTGTGAAAGTATATTGCCATTGGCCTCAAGGGTGGTTTTCCACAACCTCTTTGAGTTTGCAATGAAGGCTCTTAGAGTCCTGTTGATGTTGTATTGCTCCAAGCATTCAATGATCCATGTATGTGGCGTTGTGTCATAGGATTTTTTGTAATAAATCCAGGCAGTGCTCAGATTAATGTTTCGAGTTCTGCAGTCTCAAACGACTGTTCTGTTTACCAGGAGCTGATGTTTGGCACCTCTGGTATTTTTACCGATTCTCTTCTGAGCTGTGCTCATGTATTGATCCATGTGCCCGCTTATCTCCGCTATGATCCCAGACATGAGCTTCCATATTGTGGACAGGCAGGTTATTGGTGATAGTTGAAGGGGACGTTACCCTTTGAGGGATCCTTCAGGATCAGGATTGTGTGGCTTTCGTATAGCCTTCAGGGTGGTTTCCATCTCTCAGTAGCTAGTACATTTGTGCTGCCAAACATTCATGGAGTGCCGTGAGTTTCTTAAGCCAGTAGGTGTGTATCATGTTGGGGCCTGGTGCTGTCTAGTTTTTCATACCTGATACTCTTTCTTGGCTGTCTGCCATTGTGATGTTGACTAGATTCTGTTCAGGGTGGTTGCTGAGGTCCTCTCTCAGAGCCACAAACCACTGTGCATCACTGTTGTGTGCTACCTCCTTCTCCATTCTAGGAACAGCAAAGATACTGCGCAAAAGGACCTGAGCTTGGAGGAAAAAGGGAACATGTGTGATATATATATACGACTCTGTGGACTGCTATGAGTTAAGTCAGATAGGATTTCTAAGTCAGCTACAGTGACAATGGATAAAGAAAACCTGACTGAACCAAAGGTTTGTCAGCATCTTTTTAACACTTTATTGCCCCCTAAAACACCACTGGAGACAAAAAAGTAGTTAGAGTCCAAATTCTGCTCCCTTTAATAGCATTGAGCCAGCTGAAAAATGCTGCACAGCAGCAGACATTTTGCAGGGTTATTTACCTGTTAGGACAAGGGATATAACAACAGTTTAAAGTGTATTTAGTGGCAACTAGTACACTTGATCGTTTGTATAAAAAAAAACTATAGGCCCTGAGCATTTTTAGATAATTTTATTCTATAACAGAGTAGGATAGGGTGAGTGATTCAACAACTACAATAAACTGTGTGTGTATGTATAAAAGGTATACATATATATGTGTATGTGTGTGTGTGTGTGTGTGGTCTTTCCCGGGGCAAAATTAATGGTAGAATCTCTTCTGTGACACCATCTGTGAAACATAATACATTTATTATTCTTTTCGTTGCACATCATTTAGGCAGCAATACAGATCATTAGCGATTTTTAAAGCGAAGCTTAAGTGGCTTGCATCACCACAGTCCTTGTGGGCATGACAGGGATGATTAGGAGGAGCAGGGTGATGATGAAGCAGAATTAGTACGATCCCCACGATGCGCCAAATTTCCTTTACATGACCCCCACCCCCCTTTATTCTAACGATATTGGCTCCATGGTTTATCGTCTGCTTTTGTCCCACTGACATCGCCGCTCTTACAGCGCACCGGCTCTGCTCCTTTAAGTGAGCCTTTGCGCAGAGTCTCCGAATCACCACAACTGCATCATTGCTGGGCTGGGTTGCTTAGCAACTGGACAGCACAGAGATCCCTCAAGAAAACCTCCTTCCTGTGTTTAAAACTCTAGCCTGCGTGATTGTGTGATCGTTGATGTGCAGCCTGCTGTAAGGGTGTTTCTGGTCGAAATAGACGACAAAAGAGCGCGTAAACATAACATCAGAATAAACAGAGGATTCTTCCTGTCCCCCGAGCGCGCGCCTGTGAGCGGAAGTAGGCGCGTGTCTAGTGCGTGCCTGGTGTGAGCGTGTGCGTGCTGTAAGAATGTAGTAAAGTGGAAGAAACGCATGAAAATACACCGGAGCACACCCCCAGCATCTTAATGGCTTTAAGGCAGAACATTCAGCTATTGAACATCCTGTCGCTAAGGAATTCACCTTAGGTGTCCCCCACTATTTATTGGATGTTATTTTAAATTAAACTAAGGAAACGAACAAGGTTCCTCTGTCATGTCATTTTGGACGATCGGAGCATACTAACATGTCCAAACGCCAGTGATCGCCGGCCAGAGGAGGCAGGAGTACTTTTCAAATAGCTTAATATAATCCAACGCACTTTATGCATATTTGTGCGTAAAAAAAGAGAAAATCAATATTTCTCTGCAGGTAGTTTTTAATTTTTTTTCCTTCATTAGAGGAGTGATATAGGCAGCTCTGACGTCTGCATCAGATATCACCCACCGCTTTTTCAATGTGCATTTTCCCCTCAGTGACTTTGCGTTGATCTACATCAGCAGCAGCAGCAGCGGCAGCAGCAACCGGGGGGGAAGAAGAAGAGAAAGAAGAAAAAGGAATCAAGATTTCATTTTCTTTTCTATTTGAACCCACCGTCCCCCCACCCCCCTCTGCCCCCCTCCCACCCCACCCCACTCCACTCCAACACCCCACAAATACACATCAGCCGACCGCAGCTTTCAGCTCAGTCAAATATCCTTTAACAGCATCACATTGTGGGCAAAGACTGGCGCCCGGAGCGTCGCTGGAACCATGCCTCTCCTGCAGATCTGGACTGGGGATTTTTATTCACCGATTTGATTGTCAGGAGGCTGCTGCTTCAGCCATTCATGCCAGTGTTTGCTTTTTTTCTGCCTTTCCCCCCCTCCTTCCCCCCACAACTGGACTTGTCATCACTTTTAAAAGTATCCTGTATGCTGTTCTTTTTTATTCGAGCAAAGATGTCTGATCTTCTGGTGCTGGTCGAGGGACTCTGTGACCTGCACGGATTTCCATAGCTGAGGGAAAACAGCGGGGGCCAAATATCAGATTTTTCTTTTGTTTTGTCCTTTATAATGAAGAAATTGCATGAGTAGATGTAGGTGAGTTCATTTGACTGGTTTAAAAGGGCAATTATTATTATTTTTTTAATTGCCTGCTTTTAGTTTGTGCGTTTTGGGGGAGGACCACTGGACTGGTTGGATTATAGGAACTATAAGGATTCGTGGAGATGTTGGGTCGTCAAGAAGAAAAAATATGTGGAATTTCCTCTGCTTTGGCGGCTTTGTCATTCCTATGCTTTGTTCAAAGGTAAGGAAATCTCAATTTGGAAGAAAATGTCCATCAATATATTTAATTAGAGCTTGAAATTTGGGAAATCGCATTAAGGGGGTACCCAGGCCTGCTTATAGGGGCACCGCTGCCGATATATGTTCCATTAGACAGCGGTGCGTCGCGCGCGAGCGTAAAAAACGCGCGTGCAATATACAGAGCCAATTGGGAAATGTAACCTTTTCCTGATGTCCAAATGAGGAAAAGTCATATGTGTTTGGCGCACAGTCAGGGATGAAATAACCTACACACATAAAATATTTATAGGATGATATGATTTATTATAGTATGGTAAACAGCTGGATCTTTAAGTAAACAGGTAAAACAAGTAGATGTGGAAGTAATATCAATGCATATTTAATGGTTCTAATTGCCCACCTCAGTGAACTGAACCAAATCAATCAGAATTGAGGGAAAAAAAATGAATCCCTGCAGGTTGTCTCTCCCTGTAGCTCTCCAGATGGAAGGCTGGGGAAGCTTTCAGCCTTTTAATAAATCAGCTCATGTCAGGGCCTTTCAATGTTTACAGCACACATTTTTTGCACAAGCCTTCTCAGAACATCATTGCACCCAGAATCTGCTACTCAGCTCCCTTATTGTTTTGATGTTGAAGACACTGATGTACATCCCTTGTGGCCTACTCTGTTTCCTTGTCCGTAACGTTCCACGGTGTCAGTTAAAAGATTTAAGGTACCTTGGGACTGAGGCTGCACTTTTTCATATTTTGCTTTCCTGATACCTGATCTGCAATGAAAGGTGGTTCTCATATTACCCAGCACTGATTTTCCCAGAGATTGAAAACACCCAGCTGCAAAGTGAGTTAATAAAAGGGTGCTTCCATGACTCAGACAGCCCTTGTCCCTCCTTTTTTTTTTGGATTTTCCTCAACATTCAGTTTGCACCTTCATTGTAGGGATAAATATTGAGTGGAGAACTGGAGCATCTTAGAGGTTTCAGGTCATGTCACTCCATATTATTAGTTAGTCAGACCTGAATATCAGGGAATAAATGTACATACTCTGGTTCAAGCTGACATCATACTGGAAGGCTTCATTTTTCCTTTTTTATACTTAGATAAGGTTAATATTCCAATGCTACATTCATTCTCATCCGTTTTGAAGGTCTTGCAGTAATGAAATGCTTGACAGATTTACTGCCATCAGAACATCTCTACAGCTGATTAGATGGATGTGCAGGATAGGTTGGTCCAATGCACAAGGCGCAATGTTCAACCTTCCCCCAGATTTGAAGTGCTTTCACAGCACACCTTATTTTGACCAAATAGCCCTAAATTGTTACTGTGAGATCTTAAGGAGTAGAACTCAGTGATGTTTATCTCAAATTTTTAGTGGATATCTTAATAGATTGTTCTCTGTATTTAGCATAAATCGAGACTAGCTTCATTTTGAAATTATGGCTAATTTAAGTTTGAGAGACTAACATGGAATTCAAGATCTGTAGAATAACTCCAATCTTAAAAAAAATCATCATGCTAGTTTAGGAACACATTGTTTTATAAACCCTTAAATCACTGTCACATTTACAACGGCTGATTATTTGCATTGAGGCTGATTATTATTTACCTAGGAAATAGAGGCAGGTCTTCACCATTGATCGTTGTGTTTAAATCGCATACTGAGAATAGATCATGTAGAGGTGGAAACTCTAATTTACTGTAAGCTTGTTGAATGAACCTTTCTCTGTATTCTACTAGATTAATAGTTTTTTTGTGCTAGATGTTGTTGCCAGCTTCACCTTTTTTTTTTAACCTTATTTGTTTCACATAGGAAAATAATTGTTGGTGCACCACCTTATGGAACCGTTTCCTGTGTAATGAACCATCCAGTGCAAAAAATGGTCAAAAGGTCAATAATATAGTATTGGCTTAAACTGCTTTGAGACTGTCGAGATTGAAGTTGTTAGACATGATTTTCTTATTGGCCCTAAATTCTTCTGAATAACCAATTATCATTGGCTCTGGGGTGAACTAATCTGTTATTTATGCCAAGATATTAACTGCTTAGAACCTTAAAAGTGAACTAGAGTACACTCATAAGTGAAAGCATAAAAGCAGACACATGCGTTGCTATGTCAGAATAAAATAAAAAAAGACTTTCTGTTCCTGGTATTATATCCCCTTCCTGAAACATTACCTCTCTGTGCATTAATGCTTAAAAAGCGGAGCTGTGTGACCATTTTTCAAATTTCTACCTAACCTTGTGCTTTTACAAGATACAAACTGTCCCAGAAATGACACAACCCTGCTTTTATTGATTGAGAAAAGACTCTTATGCTTGTGGTTTTTGCCTACAGCTCCTCCACCGGAAGCAGCGGAATGTCTGTGGCCAAGACTACCGTGGACAAGTTGCTGAAGGGATATGATATCCGTCTCAGGCCTGATTTTGGAGGTATGTGGTGTAAATGTGCCTGGTTTGTGGGTTTGGTTACAAAGGCTACTGATGTTTTATTGGGGGATGCTTTGGATATCCTGACATTTCTTACTCTGAAATTCTGCAGTGAAATATTGGGACAAGTTGTGTTGTTATTTTATCAATTATTTTATTGAAGAGTCCTTCTCTTTGAGATTAAATTCAAACATCTAGTGAGAAACAAAACATGTAATTTTACAAATCTATTCATACATTTTGCCTTTTCACATTTGACCATGTTTCAGCCACAATATGTGTTTTTCTGTAAGTCTTGAGACAGAAAAGCAAATTATTGCAACAGCAAGGTAAAAGTAGATTGATATACATTTTTGAAGATTGTTTTATCACTAAATATCCAAAAAGTGTGATGTGCCTTTGCATTCAGGCCCTCTGAGTCAATATTTGTTTAGAGACTGATAGATTGGTCAATGCTTCTAATCAAAACACCCCAAAAACACAGTCAAAAAGTATGAAAACCATCTGTGATCAAAAACTTTCAAGCATTCTCAATAATTGTAAACAGGTTAAATGCCGGACCCTGGACCATTTTAACATCTGAACACCCCAAATCATTTAGTTACAACCCTGACTGTCTGTTTAGGGTATGGACATCTCTGTTCTTCCTCACCTTGGACTTCCTGGGATCTTCTTTCATAAACACACCATACTCGTTTTTTTTCCAGGTGGTTGCTTGATAAGAGCTCTTGGTGGTAACAGATGTTGATATTGTTAAATAAGTATAACTCGGTTTAAACTTTCCCTCAACTTTGTTTCTCACACTGTGTTCCTTGGTCTTCACGGAGGTGTTCGTTTGCAACAAACCTCTGAGGTCTACAGGGAACAGCTGGATTTCTACTGCGATTAAATTATTCACAGGTGGTATCTAGTAATTTATTAGATGACTTCTGAAGGCAGTTGATTGCACTGATTTATATTTAGGGCCCTCAGAGTAAAGGGAGCTGTTTACAATTGCAAATGAATGCAAATTACAAACTTTTATTTGGAAATCACGTCTTCTTTTTCTTCTTTCTTCTTAGTCTATCTTTAGTCTATCATGATACCGCCAAAATACATTCAAGAGGTATAAAATCTTTTGCAAACAACTGTAGATCTAACCTATTTTTTTATTAAATGTATTATTTTGAGAACAAATGTGCTTAACACAATTTACTGCTGAACACAAAGGTTGTATAAAGATTCCTTATAAATGCCTCTGGTACTGAACAGTTTGCTGGATCAGCTCCAGTAGTTGTCAAGTAGTATACACACCTTTGGAGTTTGAGTCGTAGTATCAGTAATGTTTAACTTTCCTCAAAGCAAACATCTGAGACCTGTGTTCATGATGCATAATAAAAAGAAGGCTTTGATTTACATTTTCGAACATAAGCGTTTGGAGCTTGGTCACTTGTAACCCTCATAATGGATTGAATTTTGACTCAGTCCTGATTAGCAGCTATTGTTAAAACCCTAATTTGCTTCAGAATTAGAATTGTAGTCTTTGAGTTAAGCAGCAGCTTCATAATGTGTGGTTCATACGCTCAAAGCTCTGCTTTCTGTGAGGACGTCTGTTGCTGCTTGATACTGTCAAAAGGACAAAAATCTTAGCAAGCTCTCAGGACGTAGTAACAGCATTGGATATCAAATTAACAAGAGCAAATGACACATCCAAAATGTGTGGCATCAATTAATTTTGCAAGGGTTGGTTGGATTAAAGTCTACAGTTGGAAGAAGAGACATGCTGAAATGTCACAATCTTGCTTTTAATACTTTTACAAGATGCAGAAAATGCACATTAATCACCCCTTTCATTATTCTTCACTTTTAAGCATCATTTGATTTAGTTTAATGGGATGTGAATAACTATTGCCTGAAATAAGGGTAACAAAGTACACTTCTGGTGTTGATCTTTGTGGTTTAGCTTTATTTGGCCAATATATATACAATGAACCCCCCAAGGAAATAACCTGATATATAATTTTATAAATTAGTCAAACAGAAGTAATATAGAATATTTTACAAAAGAAAAAAAATCAAGTTGTCTCACATATATGAGGGGCAATTGTGTGTTGCTCATAGTGATGATTGGCTCTTTCAAAAAATGGATAGAAAAAAGTGAGTGATTTATATCTAATCCCTAAACAAGTTGTGTTAAGGAGCAAAGTGATGTGAAGGAGGCATTTTATATAGATGTGATTGGTGCGATTAGGGCGCTTTAAGTGGAGGGAATGAAACCTGTGGTGGATGCCAAGTGATATTTCTTGGAGTTCCAAAATCTAAACTTTTGAATCTGTAATTTCCCGTCACGTCAACCAATATCGGACTGAATGTTTTCATGATGTAGGGTGAAGGAGCGCAGTAGAGACAAAGCTGTTTTTATATAAGATCGAGGACAAAATTATAGGCAGCAGTTTGTAGTAGGCCTAAGTTGTGTAACTTATTATTACTAATTATTGAGACACGTCCCTTGCTAACAATAAGCTATCATTGGATGCCATGTGGAGTTGAACAACCAAAACATCAGCTAGCCGATAGAAGCTCCTCCTATATGATGTCACAGTAAGGTGAGCAGGCTGTTGTATTTGCCGCGGAAAATTTTGTATTCTGTGTTACTGTGCAAAGGGGTATCAATTGAAAAGTAAGTGGATTAATCAAATTATAACATAGTAACATTTTCAATTTGTCAGCAGACTAAATTAAGTAAATCTTCATCAGTGCAGACAGTGTGTTGGCATGGTATAGCATAGGAAGTGGCCAAAAGTACAAAAAGTTCTTGCCAGGAATCATATTACATAAACTAATGAGCCAAATACGTAGACACACTATGCTGTAGCAATATTTACTCTAAGCAAGATATCGTAGCCAAAATAACTGTTAAACTAAAGAGTTTCAGGAAAACTGGACATCCACAGTTTGCCATGGGGTGGAACGGTTCACTGTTTCGTGGTCACGGTTTTCAGTTCGATTCGGTATATGTTGATTGTTAGCCTGACATGTTGGTCATGTTGCTGTTAGCATAAACAAAACGTGTTGCAAAATGCTTGCACACCGTTGCACTTTTATCCACAACTTTCTTTCCGCCGTCATTGTAGGTCACTCTAAATGCAAAGTTGTCCCATACAGCAGACCTATAAAGTGCTGCTGGCGCGTCTTCCAACTCCAGTTCTTTCCACTCACCATACCCACACACGCTCATACACTCCACAACAACTGATTTTTTTCTGCTACACCCAGCTACGCTGCTTCGCTTCTTCTTCTTGTTCACTACTGGTGGTTGGCTTTGGTCGCAATACCGCCACCTTCTGCTCTGGAATGTACACGCTTCGCCTATGAGAAAAAGGAGCAGCGCATGAACCGAACGAAACACATGCGAATCGAACCGAGTCAATCGAACCGAACGGTTCGGACGGTTTTCATAAACCGTTCCATCCCTAGTTTGCCACTATGAGCCTTCTTTAGGATCAGCACCATGGACAGCATTTTACAACTAAAATAGGCTGTAGATGTGTCCCGGCTCTCGCTAGTAGACAGATGGAGATAGGGACCAGCACCCCTTGCGACCCCAGCTAGAATAAAGCGTGACGGAAAATGGATGGTTGGGTTTTTTTTTTTATTTCAGCTGTTGGAGCTGTTTTGTAAAGACTTTATTGAGAAAGAATTACCTTCTTGTTCAAAAATACCTGGACTTTAAGTAAATGTAATAATTTGTTTACCTATGGCACATTCACTTATTAAAACACACTGATCAATGTACAAAACATCTAGTATTTTAATTTGTACAACCATGTCTTTAAGTTTACCAAACAGAGCAAGATAACCAAATATCAAGTGAACTTGTAGTTTTCTAGAATCACTGTTGTACTCTGACTTCTTAGGGTCTGTAAAAAAGGATTTCGTAAATGAAATTTAAATTTAACTTACAGTACCATACAGTAACCTTCTTCTAGATTTACATTATTTTTCTATCAATGTCCTCTGAATTGTGCCTACTAATTACGTATATGTCAGTGTTATTCTTTAAAATTTGCTGCAGGCAGCAGCTTGTCAGTCCTGCCGCTATAACACTCTTGATGATAATGAGATCAAGCAGTGAAAAATGTATAGCAGGTGTGCCTCTTCATGTAACCTTCCACCGGTTGGGTGCTCACCCAAGCAAATGCTCTGATCAAGCCTTATGTGCCAGGATATGTTAGTTTGATGAAAGTCGTTGAAAAACATTTTTTATAGTTTTTCCCTTATTGGACTGGTTTTCACCCCACTCAAAGAATCTGAGATTTTGCTTTAAGTAAAGTTTATTTACTAAGTTAAGTTTATTGGTATGACTGTAAAAACAGCTGCTAATAGTAGTAGCTCCCAAAGGTTTGTATTATGTGTGAAATATCACTAGAAAGCTAACAAACGTTGTCCCATAACACTTGATCTATTTATGGCCAGTTATGTGCAATAAAAATCCATAATGAAGTTTCAAGAAACCGCATGGTTTTCCTTAACATGTTTCAGGTAAACTTCTGGCTGGTGTCATAGATTTGCACATGATAAGAACCATGAAGTGTAAGTGGTGGGTCTTGTTTTCACCTTTGGACCTTTTTCACATTTTCTGACACAGACTAATTTATTTAGTCAGGCTTATATTAGAATCACTTATCGATGCATCAGACTCATTGTTAGAATTGTCAGAGAAATCCCAAAGTTGTATGCATACTGTAATACTGTAATACTACAGCTTCGATGTTAGAATGGATTCTAACCCGCAATGTTCCCAAGATATAAATCTTCTCTCAGGGTCCCATATGCTCTCAACTGCTTGCTTGTGCAAACACAGACCTCATGATTTACAATGTTACAGCAAAGGGATTCTGCCTCCTAGTTAGGTTAAGCTTGTAATGAACCTGTACCAGGGATGTAAACACGTCTGTTTATAATGTATACAGTATAACCTTCAGATACCACAGTTTTGGTGAAAAACTTTATGGTCAGACAAA